AACTCGCCTTACTGCAAAACATGTATCAAAACAGTAGTAAAATCAGATTAACTTTAAGTCAACTAATGCACCACTTACCCACAACTCCAATAACAAGTGGCATCAGCTGACTTTCTAGGTTGTTCACCTTTCAGAAAAATTTATCCAAAAGAGCCCAAAGTTCAAGAAAAAAACTCACTGGTACCCTAGATTAAAAGGCTGGCTCAGCTCCAAGACTTCAAATTCACTTAGATTTGCAGATTCTTTCCCCAAACACAATTAGTGGCCACTGTAGGAGTTAAAGGGTTCTGACTGTGTTCAAGTCCCCTCCTACCCATCCACCCCCACTTTCAAAAATTAAAAGAGCCACCAGTATCCAAACTGGCTGATGAAATTTCAGCCTACAGGATATTTTCATACTTGAGTTATATATAATAAGCCACTGAAATGAAGATGAATAGTGGACAGTTTAATAGCCCTTCAGATACAGCATGTCATGCCCAGCATTGGCATATGAAAGTCAAGTCCAAAATCTTTAATCTGGCCACAAACTGTACATATACACCCATATATATATGTATATGTATGTGTGTGTGCACGTACACACACACCTACTTCACTACCATTCTCCACTCTTTTGAAAAATTCTTTAATATAGAGGGTGGAGTCTATTATTGCATGGTCCGAACTGTTCATGTTATTTGCTTGCTAAGACCTTCTCTTTACCTTTAAATCAGAATTCAATAATTCAGTACCAGAGTCTAAGCGATGATGGAGAACTTTTAGAGCTTTTAATGATAACAAACAGCCTGCTGCAGCACACATGCCATTGGTTCGCCACCACAGGAAGCCATTCACTATATCCTGTTTACCACAGGACTGCCCAGAAAGCTCTATTCAAGTTGGTTCCAACAATCCATCTACAGGTGTTACTAGAGTACTAGGACTCAAAGCAGGTGACAGTCCTCAATTTCTGATTCATGTTACCAAACACAAAAAGGTTTTAACCTTTCTGAGTTTACTACCAACAGCCCAAGCAACACTTCAACTACTGGCTCAAAAGCCTGATTCACTTAAAAAACACACTCATTCCTGTGAGGTTCAAATGAAGAAAAAGCATATTCTTCATGTTTCAGCCCACTGCGATGTCTTAAAGAGTGCCTGGTCAAGGAGTCATGATTAGGCATCTCAAGTGGACAATCTGGTCAAGGTAAGCCTCAAAAGCAGTAGACTACTGGAGATGAATGTTCCCCAACAGAAGGCAAAAGTTAGTTACATCCCTTGGTTACATGCCAACCCAAAGATGCCGACATAGTGGAAATGAGTTCCACAATGGTCATTTATCTATTGTAATCCACTGAGTGAACTTTTAGCACCAACCTACATCTCAGGCTAAGGGTTATTAGGCATCAGAAGGATGGACAAGAGTGGAATTATTGCAACATAAATTCTGCTTCCCCACAAAAAATCACTTTAAACTGAGATCTTGATGGTCACTTTTGTAGACAAACAGGGGCATATTATTAACATGCTCCCAATCATTCAACCTTGAGTCCACAGAGACAGAAGACTCATACTACCATACATTCAGAATAGTTATGGAATTTTAAGGCGCAGCATAGGACAGAATAAGGAAAAATGTGTGTTCTCAACTGAATATCCTGTTGAGTTTGAAACACCTAGCAGATTTATATGCCAGCAAAGGTCCAGGTGATCACTGCCTCTTTCTCCACCCTCAGCAGGCTGACTTTTTAAAATATAGTCCAATACTACCTGCGAAAATAGTAAGTGATAAGACCCTCAGAAAGGAAAGAGTCGGGTGTGGTGGTACACGCCAGTAATCCCAGCACTGAGGAGGCTGAGGCAGGATTGTTTTGAGTTCAAGGTCAGCCTGAACTATACCAGGAGATCCTGTCTCAATAAACTCCCAAAAAAGAAACAAAATTAATCAAAAAGGAGACTTACTGTCTATTTCCTCTTCCTTCTTGCTCTTACTTTGTGTACCTATTCTGAACCCTACCTCCACTTCTCTGGCCTTGTCCCTTTTCCCTCAACTTGTGCTCACTCAGTTCTGGGTTTTCCTGCATACTCCTGTCCCCTTCTTCCCAGTCCCTGAAACTGGCCAACCTAATTACTGCTAGTTTCTGGACTAGCTGTTCCCTGAACCTTTAAGGCTGCTCCTGTTATCATGGTTGGCCCCTTTTTAATTTAAAGTTCAGTTTGTCTCCTCCATTTTGTTGTTGGAACAGTATCTCACTAGATAGTCCAGACTGGCCTTGAAACTCACAGTGTAGCTCAGGCTGGCCTTGAACTCACAATCCTCCTGCCTCAGCTTCCCAAGTACTGCAATTATAGCTGTGTACTACCTACCACACCCAGCTAGGTGTTTCTCCACTGAATTCCCCTTAAACACTTCCTATCACATCACTTACTTTCCTTAGCATTTAATCAAAATCTGTTTCTGTCTCCACCCCCTACTCTGATATAAGTTCCTTGAGGGAACAGACCTTTTGCTTGTGTTAACCTTTGTACATCCACTGCCCAAAACACCAGCCAGCACTTAGTAGCCAGTAAATGCTTGCTGAATGAATTTTGGACTTTTTATTCAATAGCCAACTAATGAGCTTATTAATAAGAGTAGTAGTCATGCTTTCATTGTATTTCTGTGAAATGCCTAACCACAGTTGCTTGTACAATCAAGGCATTAAAGACTTTGTTTTATCAGGCCTGAAAGCCCTGATAAATAGGACAGGACTTTTCTCAGCATCGAAGAACATCTGTTATGATAATTGTCTAGCAATTTGCTTATCAAGCTCAGTTACAGATAGATAGGATTTATGCACACTTTGTAATCAAAGGAGTCCTAAAATGTAGGCACCATCTCTTAAGACAGTTTCATATTTGACAAGATTTCTACAAAAATAAACACCAAAACAGGAATTATTACACTTCATTCTGAAATCCGTGATAGGAGAGAGCAGTCCTACTTGGTGATTCTTTTTTAAACCAACAAACTATCAACAAAGAATTTCTCCTAATTAATCTTTGCCTTATTCAATTTTTTTCACATCTATTATTGGTTTGTATTCTTTTTAAAATACAAAACACATCAGTGTCTCATTTAAGACCACGTGTACAAAAAGAATCCGCTAAACAAATAAGATGAAAATCAGCCCCAGTCGATTGTGTCACTGAAAACCTGTGTGCCGGTCACACAAATAGAGAAAAAGATAGAAGAGCTATTGTCCAATTGTAGAAACAAAAAAGTAATATGGGGTTTTCTGTTCTCTGAAGTGCATCATGAAGTGTGGGTGGAGAGAAACACAGAAATCCAAAATTAGACTAACATCAAATCATTTGCAAAGAGTTGACAACATGTAAATTCTCACACATAAAGTATTTAGAGCAAGAGACCTTGATTCTTGGGCCATGATGCCATTCAGGATTCCTTGCAAGGGCTCTGGAATTCCAGTATTCATAAAATAAAATGTTCATTATAATCTGGAGCTAAGAGGCGTAGAGAGAAACTCCCAATGTGATACAGCTTGTAAGTGAAGTATTACAAAGCTTTCAGTAAGATCTGGGATAGAGGCTGAACACCAAATTCAAAAGAGGTAACCAAGGTACTAAGAGCCATAGAGGGCGGAAGGAGGAGGGGTCCACGAATGCCACTCAGCCACAGAGAATTAAAGTGGAAACGAGGGGGGTGTGTGGGGAAGGATGAGGGGAATGGAAAAAACAATACATTTATCACGCCGTCCCACTTCCTACACAGGATACAGGCAAAGCCTCCAGCCCCATTACCTCCGGCACAGATGGTTATCGCTTACAGCAAAGGTGCACAGAAAGGCCTTCAGGTCTGAGCCCCTTAATTCCTAGGCTGTTAACGATTAGAGAAGGATGGGGGTGGGGAGGGAAATGAGGGCGGAGGGAACTGGAGATTCATCCACCACCTCCCCCTTGGGCTCCCACCTCACAGCGCTTACCCGGGACTTGGGACTAAAGTCTGCACCCTCTCCAGGTTAGCTCCGGCCCCACAACCCCAGGCCCTGGGTTGAGGGGTGCTGGCGGTTAGGAAGCAGAGACAGTAGGTAAGTTTTCTGAGCCCTGCGGCTGACACGCCACAGGCTCCCCTCACAGCCTCTTCTTCCAGAGGGACCAGTCCAGACAAGGCGCTGATTTCTACTTCTCCCTTCCACCCCTCTTTTCTCGAAGGAACCCCACCCCCGCCCCTTCATCTCTTAATGCTCCCCCCTTTTCCTCAACTCCCTCCCTCCCAAACTCACAGCTGCTCCAGAGGTTCCTCCAGTCAAACCCTTTCTGGAAACGACGGCGGCCCGGTGGGTCCAAACCACCTACCATCCCCGCTTGCGTTTCCAAGCTCCCTAGCCCCGCCGCCGCCGCCTCTTCTTCCACCACTGCCACCGCCTCCTTTTCATCTGCGGCCCACCGGCGGCGGCCGCCCCGAAGCCCCGCCCCCTCCATCGCCTCCTGCATCATCACTTCCGGTAACCCCGCCGGCCGCCAGCTCCAGGAGGGATAATGGGGGGGGGGGAACGGGTGGATGCTTACGTCATGACGTACACAAAGACGTGCGAAGCTGTCGCCAAGTAAGGGCAAAGACGTCGCCCGGAAAAAAAAAGGGCTGGGAGGAGCTGAGCTGGACCATATTTTGATTGGAATGGGGGAGAAGGACAACAAAGGAGTAAAGGAAAAATAGGGAGAAGATGAGGTTGCCAATATTGTTGGATGCGGCGGAGAATGAGGTAGATTAGAAAGTTTATAGGAAGGCTCTAGACTACCCCTGACCTGGAACTAATGCTCCCAACAGAAGTCCTCCCTATGGTTTGGTCCGGCCTGGTTTACCCGACCGCCGGTGCTTGGTGGGCTGGGGTTCAGCACAAGTCCCGGTGCCGCCTCCTCCGGGCCCGCTAGGGCCTGCGGCGCATCTGTGGGTGGGGGAAGGCAGGACTGACGCAGAGTGAATGTAAGGAATGGAGGTGCTGACTCCAGGCGCGGGGAACTGGGGACAGGGGTTGGCTCCCCAGGGACTAGGATGGGGTGGGGGTGCGGGTGCGGTGTTGCTAAGAGACGCGCTTCTGTGACCCCAGCCTCACGAGGACGGCGCGGTGTCATCGCCACTGACCTCAGGGCCATGCCTCAAGGAAGTGGCTCGTGGGCCAGGAAGGGGAGGCCTGGTTTGGGGTCCATCTTGAGACATTTCTGAAACTTTTGGATCCTTTAAAGTAAATGGAAGATGGTAGGAGCAATTCCAGGGCGAGAGGTCGGTCTAAACTTAGCCCCCCTGTGCACAAACGAAGACCCTTAAGAGAGAGCCAGCTGCGTTAATTCCGTCGATCACGAAACTTGAGAATGAGACGAAAGCCTTGCTCCCTAACATTTCATTTGAAGAGGAATGAGCTAACAAGTAAACCAATAAGTATCAACAAGTGAGAAATATTCTCCAAAGACCGGGTAAAGTGATAGAAGACGTGGGGGAGGGCTGTTCAGAGGAGGCCACCACTGGGGGGAACCCTAAAAGAAAGGAGAAGGAAAAGCAGGGAATGAGCTGTTTAAGTGAAGATGAGAGCCAGTGAGATTGAAGCAGAAAGGGGCAAAATGTTCTGTGATGAAGCTGGAGATGTGGGACCTGATCAGAGCCTTTTTCCAAGGGCAGAGTTTGGCTGTTGTGTTACCAAAGGATTTAAAGAAGGATAGTGAGCTGACCTGATGGATATTTTTTAAAAATCACGCATGCTGCTGGATAGAGAAGGGGTAGTCAGACCTGATAAGAGGCGGTTGCCATACGCCAAGGGAGAGATGACTGATAGTGTTGAAAGTGTCGTCGCAGTGGAAATGAAGAGAATTTGATTCAGAATATATTTTGGAGGATCAACTTGCAAGACTTGCTGAAGTATTAGATGTGAAGTGTGTGGGAGAGAGATTTCCTAAGGGAAAACAATTTGGAAAGGAATATCAGAGTAAGTGTGAAAAGTCCATTAACAATCCAAAAGAAGATATGGAGAAGTTTAATAAAGTTAAGGGAAAGGTCATAATTGGGGCTAATAAATGTGAACTATTTCTAGATCACATTGGAAGAAGGTTCCCAAACTCCCCCAGGCTCATAAAATTTACAGATTGCTCAGAGAAGGAAAAGCTGGCAAAGGAGACTCTTGAAATAGACAAGACCTCAAAGATAAAAGGATGAGGTCCCTTTATATCTTGGAATAATGGCACTAACCTTCATAATCTGTGAGACTCATCCTCAAAGGCCTGACTCAAATCTCTTTCCTCCCTCCTCTCCCAGCCATCATTGCTTTTGGACTCGTGCACAGGTAATTTGTGTCCTTTCCAGAAAATCCAACTTCCTACATAAATGTTTATTTGCATGTGTGACTTTCTCATGGAAAATTTTGTCTTCTTGGCTCTTAGTACAGACCCTTGCCCATAGGTTCTAACATGGTTTGGCTGGGCAGGAACACAGTGTTCATAAGGTATCAGCCATAGAATTTAGTATCTTCTGACAAAGGGGTTTTTCTTTCTGTTGCTCCTGCCAATGCCACCACAATTATGGTCATTCTCATAATATAGTGGAAAGGGTATCAAAAAGAATAAGAAGGCTTGGGTTTCACTTTTGCATCTGCTACTGACCAACAGCACAGAGTAGAAGTTGCAAAATGGCAAGACAGATATTGCCTGCAAACATATTGCTCAACCCACAAAGTAAGTTCTTTTAATTTGCTTGCCAACATTTAAAAATTGGACGCAAAATCCAGATTATCACCTTCATTTGAAAAATCAAGACAATTTGACAACAGCCTGAGGTTCCCAGAGGTTGCTACGTAACATAACAGAGTCAACTAGAGCTATAGAATTGCTTTCCCTTTTTAATGTGGCTTATTCCCCAAGTGTGCAAAAGGCCTCTTCTCTTTTGCTCTCTAGCTGGCTGACCCCTGTGGGCATTTGATTGTTAATTCTTGGTCTAGAGCTATACTGTCCCTATGTGGCCGCAAGCCACATATGACTATTTAAATAAAACAGTTCAGTTCCCCAGACATACCGTATTTCAAATGCTCAAAGCATTATTTTGGCTGTGCTAGGGATTGAGCCCAGGACCTTTGCACTGAGCTACATTCCCACCCTTTATTTATTTTTTATATTTGAGAAAGGGGTGTTGCTCAGTTGCCCAGGCTGGGTTTGAACTTGGAATCTTCCTGCCTTAGGCTTCCTGAGGTTACAGGAATGTACCATCATGCTGAGCTCCAATGTCTACTACCGTCTTGGACAGACAGAACAGTTCCATCACAGCCTTTTGGTCAGCCCGGGACTGGAGAAATTTGAGGGTACTCTGGGTGCCAGTCATTCCCTGCATGCAAAAATGGGCAGTCATTACTCCTACTCTGAAAGGGCTTGGTCTAGTAAGGAGCTCCGGTACCTCTACAGGTCAGGAAGGTTGCTCCCTTGATAGTTATTTGAAAGGTAGAACTTGGAAACTATTCTGAAGACATGGTCCCCTGTGCAGTGTTGTTATCTAACAGTTAGATCTTGGGTCAGATGCTAGAAAGCCCCAGCTGTATCTAATGTTGTAACCAAAGCCCTTTTGCCAGTTTCCTAATCCAGTTTCTTAGAAGATTATCACAGGGCAGGAATGTAAATTAGTGTTTTGGCTTTCTGACTTTCCTAGTCGTTATGAAGAATGGAAGATTCTGGCTAGGGAGTTACGAATGACTGGTTTAGCACTGGCCAATTTCCAGCGGTTCCCAGTCATCTCTGACACCTCCTGCTTCTGGTAACTGGTTTGTACCACCTCTGACCCTTATCTTGTCTTTGCCTCTTAAAATATGCAGATAAGGGCCAGGGATTTAGCTCAGTGGTTCCACCGCCTGCCTTGCAAGTGGAAGGTCCCGAGTTTGATACCTGGTACCAGAAAAACCACAAAAAAACCAAAAAATAATAAGTATGCTGATAAGAAAACAGGTACTTCAATTTCTTTTGAATTGAGGGACCATAACTTGATCTCCAGTTAGAATTTCTGTCTCTGATGAAGCAGAGACATTGTTTGATATATCTTGGTCACAATGGTCTGATTGGAATTCAGCTCCACAGGTATAATCTTGTATGCTTCAGTGTTGTAATAATACACAGGGAGAGTTGGGGATTTAGATCAGTGGCGCTGCACCTGCCTAGCAAGCGCAAGGTCCTGAGTTCGATCCCTGGTCCTGGGAAAAAGAAAAGTGCACAAATGGTTCCCAACTAATTTACCAATGGTTTGACTTACGATTTCTTGACTTTACAGTGATGTGAAAGTGATACAAGTTCATAAGAAACCATACTTTGAAGTTTGATTTTTCCCTCCACTAGCAATATTAGTACAATAAATACTTCTTCCTAGTGGTGGACCTGGGGAGCGCACTAGTGCAGCTCTCAGTCAGCCATCCAGGTGAACAGTCAAAGCTGTGATCTTTGGTAAGTAGGTGTATTACATTATCTCCACTTGAGAGGTTTCCAGCTCATCAGGAGTTTATCAGGATTTAACGCCATTGCAAGTTGAGACACACCTGTATTTAGAAGGGTGTTTGCCTCCTGTGATTTGTTTGAGATAGTTATCTTCGAAATCTTTCAGATATTAGTATTTTGATGTTGCCTCTTGTTCTGAATAATTTTCATATTATAGAATCTAACCTAATAGCATTTCCTTCTCTACCTTGTCTTCCCTGCCCGCATCTCTGACACACCATATTGTCACTTTCTGTGTAAAAAGATGCTGTTTCAGAGAATAGCTGTGGTATGAACGCTTAAGTATGCCCCCACAAGCATATCCTGAGATTTACAAAACTATGTGGCATTACTCTCTCCTTTTTGGAATCCAGTAACCAAAACTGAATGTAGGGCAGAAAACAAGTCCGTGGTGTGTGTGGGTGGGGAGGTGTTGATCGATGGAGGGGAAGGACAGGTATGTGTGGGGGCACCGTTTCATTTGAAGATTATTCGATTGCAGTGACAATGATATTGTATAGGACACTGTGTATGGTGAAAAGTGCTCTGAAGGATAACCAAAGAGTATGAAACAAAGGAAGAAAAGTAGGAAGGAAAGCCTGATCGTGCCTTTGGTGTTGGCACTTGCATTGTATTTCCAGTAAGAAGTATGTGCTGTGGTCTGAAGATAAGGGGTGTCTCCAGCAGGGTTATTTACTCATACTGAAGAACAATAGCCTTTTACTGTACAGGGATTATTAATGATCAGAGGGAAACAGCTTTAGGAAAATCCATTACTACCACAAAGCAATAAATTCACTGACAGACCATGTACTTTTTTCCCTTCCCTACAGACGAACTTAGCATACATAAAGGAGGCCTCGCTATTCCTTCATTTCCTCCTGGGCAGGTAGCCTGTCCCTTGAAGTCCTAGTGCTAAGCAGCTGATGGTGTTTTTGTTTTAGTTTGTTTCTCCATAGCCTTCATGGTGAGCTATATCTCCACCCCTTTTTATTTTTTATTTTGAGACAGGGTCTTACTAAGTTGCTTGGGTCGGGCTCAAATTTGTGATCCTCCTGCCTCAACCTCCCAGAGTGCTAGGATTTCAGGAGCGTGTTACTATACCTGGCTCCTAGCAGTAAGTGTTTTAATGAAGTGTAAGTAATTCCTACAACTTTTTGAAGAAGGTTCTGTTGTTACCTCTGTTACATTTTAAGAAACTGAAGCTCAGAAAGATTAATAATTTGCACCGTCAAGTTAAGTCAGGATTAAAACCGGTTTGTTCACCCAGAGCTCATAAGTTCATTTTTTGTATTATATCCTTATAAATGTAGGAAAACTTAAATGCCCAAAACCCAAACAGACGTTCTCTTCTATTTAGGGCACAAAAGTGTGATTACTTTTAAAGTGCTCTGGGATCTTCACTAGAGAGATGTCCAAATACCATTGCATGTGTCCTGGATTGAGAGTGGACATTACTGATGACTATTCTGTATTAATACTCCACTGTGTACTAGTTGTAGGAGTGTAATGAATGAGACTCAGTCCCGTCTTCCCCTTAGCCCCCCCCCCACAATGAAAAAGAAAGGCCAGACAAAACTACAATAGAGTTATGATGGGATGTGCTAGAGATACCAGGGCTCCACATAGCAGGGGCACTAACTCAGTCTCTGTGTGAAAAAGTCACCCCTCAAGAAGTGATAAAAACCAAAGGATGAGAAGCAGCAGGTAGGCAAAGTTGCATGAGATGGGCCCGCCCTTCACGTGGCAAGGAGGAGTCCTACCTAGGTTGAAGGAGACAGGGCACCAGGACACAGATGTGTGCTAGTGTACAGTAGATGTAACAGTCATTTTGTTTGGGTGGATTTCACATTCCACCCCCACCCACTTGCACACACATACCCTGCCTGGCCAAATTATAAAGTACTTGAGAGAAATTTCGGCTACACTGCAATCATTAGTTGTGATAAGAAAAACAAATTCCACCTAAGGTCAGGTCTTTCTTCAAAAGAATGGAAAGGGGTCTTCCCCTTCACCTCCAGGGCTTCAGAGTCAGGATCAAGTCCTCTTTCCTCTTTCGGTCCCATCTCTTGTTTGTTCTGCACCACTTTTTCTTCAGTAGAAGGCAAAGCCTCATGAGAGTTCAACATGTGGAATTTTGACATTCCTAAGACCGGAGTCATACTTCTATAAATTCCATCTGGGGAAAGGGAATTTTCATCTCTGCTCTTAAACTCCTAAGTGTTCATGCTTCAGTAGGCTTTCCAAAAGGGAGGAGGAGTGTCCCAGAGGTGAGGAAAAAGTGGTGAAGTGGATGAGGCCCCTAGAACTAGCAGGTCCTTCCACTGGCCTGTAAAACTAGGTTGGAGCATACCAAGCACCTTGGTGTGCCCTATGTAGTAGTTAACTGGAGCTTTCCCAGGTCCCTTTATAGTACTTACACCCTTAACAGCAGGGGAAAGGTGAGTGGGTATTTAGGTTTTTTTCTTTTAGATTGACCACTGCCTGTTATGATTCCTCATCACTGACTCCAAAATAAAAACACTGAAAAAGCTTGTAGTCAGACAAATAATTATCCAGCTTTTGAGACTTTTGATCCTGACTTTCCTGTCAATTAGTATTTGGTGGCATTAGACAAGACTCATGTTCTATCATCTGTAAGAGTGGTAGAATCATAAGCGGTTATGATGTAGTCTGAGTCCAGCACATTTTAGAAGATGGAAAGCAGACTGTTACTCCAACTTACAAAAATCTGCCAGTGGCCCGGGATTTAGCTCAGTGGTTCCGGTGCCTGCCACACAAGCGCAAGGTCCCGAGTTTGATCCCCGGTACCAAAAAAACCCCAAACAAAAATTTAAGT